AATCATGGGCTTGATTTATATCTTCTAGTTATACTCGTATAACCAATATCATGTCTTGTACATGCTATGACATATATGAGAATCCCTATTGCATATGCATAAGAGATTTTACTCATCTGCTGTATCTCATAATGAGTTTTTGGACACATGCTCTTAGAAAAGTGAAGTCCATGTCATACTGGAAGTAAACTTTTCTTAGACTGTTCCATATGAAATCTCCTTAGCATCTTATCAGCATACAAGGATTGAGATAATCTAATTATACTCTTAGATCTATCAGGATAAATCTTTATCTCAAGTATGTAAGATGCTTCTTTAAAATCTTTCATTAAGAATGATTTTAATGAGTCACAGCTTCACTGAAGATATCATTCCTATATCATTTTCGATAAGTAGTATGTCATCTACATACATCACTAGGAATACTACCAAAACTCCCACTGACCTTTTGTACACTCATTGGTCATCCATGTTTTGTATGAAGTCAAACGTTTTGACAACTTCATCAAATAGGATGTTTCAACTCCAAGAACCTTGCATCAACCCATAAATGGATCTATGTAGCTTGCATACAAAACAGATCTACTCTTGGCTCTTTTGTTAAATAATTTATTAGTTATCCAGACTAAAAGGATCTCGCTGTAAATAAGTTTTTCGCAATTCACTGTTTTAATTAAAACCATACTTTGTTTTTTCGTTACTGCTAGTTCGTGCTTTACGTAAGAGTTGATGATTTTACTTACCATATAGGTTTTCCGACGAGCTTAGTTTCTTTCATTGTTTTTCCGGTGGCTGATGATACTGCAAAAGTTAGTATAAGTTGTTCTATTACAATGCTGTCCCGTAGTTAATTACAAACCGGTCATTTCCTCCTACTTTGGTTATTGGAGAAAAAGTGTACACTTACTGGTGTTGAATGAAAGGTTTTCGCTAAGAATTTGAAAGTTGAGCTTATTTTTCAATGACTAGATGAATATAATATTGTACTAGTTGTTTACTGCGTTGAAGTATGGAAAACTAGAGTTGCCCGAAAGCGATTCGTGTGGAAAGTAACATGAGAATGAGTCACCGTACTGGGCTGTTACGAGGTGGCTTGAGCCAAGTGAATAAAATATTTAAGTTGAATCGAGGTGGATTTTTTTTTATCAATGAGACATTATTACTGATGGTGGACCTACCATGGTTCGGTTCGGTATATTGAACTCAGCCTCTGTAATCTGATCCTTTCCTGCCATCGATTCTCCATCTTTGCGTGCACTATTTTGAGTTACCTAGTGGACTAAATCGGGAAAGTTTGGCATAGGGGAGAGTTATGGAGACCACCTTTCTATTGGTCGATAAAAAAAAAAATATCAATATGCAACGGACACCAACTTGTATACCAACTTCTTGTTACCAACTAATGTACAAAGGATAGGAATCCCAAATTCTCAATAACGAAAAATAAAAAATAAAAAAATTATGTCCCTTGAATAAAGTATCTAATACCCAACTCCCACAATTTAGGCTAGAATTAGGGAGATTCACTATTATACCTAAATATAGGAGCCTAAATTATAAAAAAACATTATATTAAACGAACTTTAGAAACACACCCAAAGTCCATTTACAGCATAACAAAAAGGCTTTTAACTTCTTTTAAATTACAAAACTGCTATTGATTTCTTAAAACAAACCCAACCCAAAAATCTCATAAAAAGCCCAAAACACTCAATAGGCCACCAAAGTAATTAAATAATCAAAGTTAAATTCAATAGGGCCAGCTGTATTTTTTTGGGTTTGTTTTGGGTTTGTTTACAGAAATTAAATGGTGTAAGGTTTATTTATAGTTTTAGTGCTAAGAATTGATATATAACTAAATATCTCCTAGAATTATTACATGTTCAACAAGTTTGAGGACATATGTAGTTAATATTGCTTACATTGGTGCGTATACATGTACTTATACATTTTACTCTAATTCAACAATTGCTTCTAACTCTAGTCGTCTTCCTGGGATGCTTGCATGTGTTGTTGTAGGACCTGCAGAGAAAAAAGGATTAGGAGGCATGACCAAGTTATCTCCTCCTTCTAACATATGAACCGCTATTTGCATAGACGGACGATCTACCGGGTGCCACTGGATGCACCAAAGCCCTACAATTGCAAGTGTCTTCTGGATTTTACCATCTCCGTCATCTCCAATACGGATTCGTAGGTCATCTCCTCCTTCTAGAAGATTATAGATCCATTCTGGGTAGTAAATTTCATTTGTGTCCTTTGCGCTTGAACCAATATTCTTCCTTCCTCCTACCATCTCTAGCAACAACATTCCAAAACTATAGACATCTGACTTGTAAGACACATTTCCAAAATTCCTAGAGAACACTTCAGGTGCAATGTATCCCATGGTGCCTCTAGCTGTAGTCATTGACACCATACTTTGATCCTTGGAACATAATTTGGCCAAACCAAAATCAGAAATTTTTGGAGTGAAGTTGTGGTCTAGCAAAACATTATGGGGTTTGATATCAAAATGGAGGATTCGTTGATCGCATCCCTGGTGAAGATATTCAATTCCTTTGGCTATGCCTACGGCAATATCATGCAACTTTTCCCAACCAAGGAAACTGTTCTTACTATCCGCTGATGAAATGAAATCCTGCAGCGAACCATTGGGGAAGAACTCATAAACAAGAGCTCGTCTAAATCCATCAGCACAAAAGCCAACCAAGCGAACTACATTGACGTGGTGGATATGGCCCATCATTCCCACTTCGTTTACGAACTCTTCCCCATTTCCCTTAGAATTGTTAAGTACTTTCACAGCAACAAAGAATTCAGAAGAAAGCTTTCCTTTAAAAACAGTTCCATAGGCTCCTTGGCCCAACTTGTCCTTGAATTGATTTGTGATCCTCTTAATATCTGCGTATGAATATCTGCTTGGCTTGAGAGCTTTGTAATCCTCTAAAAACCTTTCGATTTTCAGTTGATTCTCTTTTTCCTTTTGATCAACGCTATAGACACGATACACTGCAATGACCAGTACTAAAAGAAGGGATGAACCCAGCGTTGCACCTGCAAGTAAATACAATCCTTGAGCAAACACATATCTTCCAACGTCTTCTCGACATGAAACAAAGCAAAAGAAAAGACCAGTCTTAGATAACTCACCCGTTGCCACGAATTCCATTGTTTTGCCTATAAAACATAAACATAATTTCAAAATCAGATTGTCATGTTTGTGAAAATGACCCTGAACCCGCAGGTAGCAGATTATCATATTGGTCATCAAGTTGGCAAATATGATCTACTTTGGAAACTCTACAAAATTGAGCAGAATATATGTGAAACAAATCCTTACTTGCTTTCTTCAAGTGAATACATTCAACTTCACTTTTGATGTCATTCTTCTTCAATCTACACCTCTTGCCCTCTGCTTCACATTCGGTACAATTTGGTTCAGACCATTCGAAGCGAAGAATATTGCTGTCAACTCCAAACAAAAGTCCCAAATGGAACTGATAAAACATCATACATCCTTGTACAAGACTGTAGGGCCGGGAAGTGATCAAACAATTCAAAAAAAGAAGAAACGCCGTAAACTCTGTAGCCAGGGCCGCCGCCGAGGCAGGGGACTTGATACGCATATATATCTCTTTCAGCAAGAGTAGGACAATGGAATAAGGTAACGTTACGTATGTTGGAATCTAATAAGTGGAAGGGGGACATTGGAATGTTAGGGGTTTCTAAGGGCTTTAACAGCAGGCAGCCATCTGGGCTATATACTTCGATTAGCCCACGCTTATAATCTATGCTTTTGACAAAGAATTTTACTAGTGCTACTTGCTCCTCAAGAACCTTCTCCTGTCTACCACTGCATTCAAGGCCAGGATCACCACAACGATGTCCGAGGTGGAACGGGAAATGGATAGCCAGGCCATGATCATCACTGCACTTAGATTCTGTGCACGTATCTTGTCCTGCTCCAACCGCTTTGACGAAAACCATATACGATATGCAAAGGCAAGAGATGAGGAATTGCTGCATTTCTAAGCTTAAGTGGCACTGGATTTTTTTCCTGAGCAGATGTATTTCGATAGGTATGTCGAGTACAGCAATGAATTGACCTTGCTCAATCGACCACTCAAAAGAAATCGGAAACAAGCTTGGCCCTTTTACAGTAAATAAATGAATATACAAACCAAGGCCAAAACTTGGACCAAATCAGAAGGAAAACCAAACTCAAGAAGTCAACAAAACCTGGCTCTTTAACGTCATGGCTTACCTAGGCTTCTAATAATTAAATTGCTGCATGACTTTTCTTCTGATATTTTTCAAATGTTATCCAATAGGAAATTTGAAAAATTCTTCTGGATAGTGTGCTCATACACACAATTACCATCTCTTATAAGAAAGTGTCTAAGTATTAAGCTAATTTGAATGCCAAACAACCCCAGTCTCTCTCTCTCTCTCTCTCTCTCTCTCTCTCTCTCCATGGGAAGCAGGTTCTTGGCCTTGTCTGGGTGGGTTTTGATAGTAGCATTTCTTGTTGTTGGGTTATCTGGCGAAACTTGTAACGCGAAAGACGACGGTACTAAGTGTACCTCTTCCTGCGGCAATATCCACAACATAAGCTATCCTTTCCGACTAAAACATGATCCAAAGCACTGCGGCAATGTAATGTATACTCTGTCCTGTGAGAACAACATTACACTTGTTGTAGACCTACCTCCTTCAGGAAAATACTATGTCCAGGCAATCAACTACGATAATCAAACCATCCGAGTTGTAGATCCCGGCATTCAGAAGAACAATTGCTCCTCCATGCCTCAAAATCCACCTTTTTTAATAGCTCCATATAGTGCATATAATAGGTCAGGTTATCTGCTTTCGACACCTGTATTTTACATCAAGTGTTCGAATCCAGTGAATTCTTCTCTGTACGTGGACACTGCTCCATGCTTGAATATAAATGCTTCTTCCTTGGTCCAACAAAAGACGTACAGTTATGTGAAGGTTGGGGTTATGGAAGTGGGGGATTTGAATGAGGGTTGCAGTGCAGAGTGGGTGGCTTTGGTGCTCTTTAACTACTCTAAGGGCTACAATACCTTTTATGAATCCATACACAGTGCCCTCATGTATGGCTTTGAGCTTGGAGTATATTGGCCTGATGAAATACCTCCCATCTGCCAAGGCCAATGGAGTTCTAATCTTAAATGTTTTCCACACACCATCCCAGGTACGTGAATTCTAGGCCATGGCTATTGACTATGTCTAATTTGTTGCACTTTCAGTTTATGAGAGTGCATGGAAGGAAGTTAGGGGAATTCAGACTTCTCGTGACTAGAAGTATCAAGAAAATACTTGTTTTGTGATCAATGCATAATTCTGTATCATTTTGTAACACTCTACCCTATTATTTGGTTATGTTTTTTAGATAAAACTTGTGCTTTTAATCCATTTTGTGTTTGTTATTCAGTTCATTGAGCTCTAGGTACCA